AATAAACACCTGTCCCTGCAGACCAGCACTGTCCACACCTGTCCCTGCAGAATAACGTCGTCTACACCTGTTTCTACAGAACTAAACTCTCCCCAACTGTCGCTGAGCCAGCATGGATAAAGACAGCTAAGACTGTCATTCTCAAACATTCTCATAAAATAGTTGGAAGCTTTACAGCCTCAGAAGGGCAAGATTTATGTACACAATCAAACCTAGACATGAAATTATGTTTAGTCTATATGTTAGAGCACTGCACTGCAGTCCTGGAGGTTCTGAGTTCAAGCCCCACTCCCACAGACTGCCACTCTGGGTCCCTGAGCAAAGACCCTTAACCCCACTCTGCTCCCTGGGCGCCGCACAATGGCAGCCCACTGCTGAAGAATGTTGTAAATTCTGCATGTCAGCATCTCCCCGCATCAATTAAAACGATCAATCAATCAGTGGTGAAGCCGATGTGAAGCGATCCCATATAAGAGAAACAGGAAGACATGGAGGGAAATCACAGACGCATTTTACGAGCTAATTTCAAGGTTTATTCGATGCTCTAACAGCCCGGATGATGGTTCAGAGGTTTTACAGGCGTTTGCTAAACTTGGCAATGTTCTCAACTTTACTACTTTTTATAATAAAGATCAACGCTAATAACGCTCTGATATTTGGAAGCTATTTCCACTTTAGTTTTTCTAATTTGAGGTCAATTACTTTTTTTAATTAAGCACAAAAGAGCCTTTTTATTTATTATTGTGTGTTTTGGTTTCCTGGTTGGTTGCTGGGATCTTGTTAAAGATCTAATTCTGACACCCAAAGACAGAATGAGGCAGAAAAGCTTTGATCTGGTTCAAATAAAAGGTTTAAAGTTTAAATGAGTTTATTTTATGCACCCTGTTGGTTCTGAAGGTCCTTTTAAAATATTGTGATTATAGCCCAGAATTATTGTGATGTAATGTCTGACCTCTGACCACTGGTGCCGGGCTTTCTGGCACCGGGGGTCCGACCGGGCCCCCCAGAACCGATGGCTCCCCATCCTGACCACAGAGACAATGCAGAGCTGGATAAAGGGCCCTCTGCGGCACCAGAACCAAGCAGAGCCAGAGGACTGGTTGGACTCAAGCCCACGACCCAAACAGCCCGGCCGGTTGGGGATGGGGGTGGCAATAAATCAGCAGCTCCAAGCGTACGGGGCCGACCTTCAGCAGGAAAACATCATCCTGTGAGCGTGTGTTACCAGCGGGGCCAGCTCTCATTACGCACTGTTTAAGCTAACCACAATATTTAAGCTGGCAGCAGCAGCCGGGCCGCCCACCGGTCCGCCGCTAACAACCGGGACCCTCCTCCTCCACTTGGAAACCACAGCTGGCCCCTAGACCTCAGGCCTGGAAGGAAACTGAAGCTGTGAACATATTTATGATTCTGGACAGGAACCTTGGCGCTGCTGGATGGCTGCGTTAGCAAGCTGGAGGAGCAGCCGACCCCCCGGGAAGAAAAGAAACACTGAAACCTGAGGAGACAATGGGGGAAGAACATGGAGGACGACCGGCAGATAGGAGGCCCCGTAGGAGACCAGGGGAACCAAGAAGGTCCCTGGACTGAACCCTGCAGCAGGACTAACCAATCAGAGGGGAGAACTGCTGTCATTAGTCCCTGAAACCTTCAGCTTCCACACTTCTATCATCGGCCCCGCCACCCCCCCAGGGGCCCCTGGTTGTGGTTCCTCTCAGGGCTGCTGCTCCTCACCTGAGTTCATCAGCCTCCACAGCTGATCCACCAGAGCCTCGGTGCACAGGCCAGAGTCGGCTGCCTTGGTGAAGGGGGGGTTCCTACTCAGCATGCCCAGAACCTTGTGTCTACAGGGAGAAGAAGACAGCAGGATCGGATCAGAACCTCAGGATTCTACTGGGACCTAAAAGCTGAACAGAACAAGGCTGACCTGACGTAGTGAACCGGGTCGCTTTGGACCAGGTCCAGCAGCCACTGCAGGTCTGTGGAGCTCCTCTCAACTGCAGACAGAGAACACAGCAGATCACTGAGACACAGCAGGCGGAACCACCACAACACCTGAACCCCGGTGCTGCGGACCCAGGAGCCGGGTCGGCGGCCAGGAGCCGGGTCGGCGGCCAGGAGCCGGGTCGGCGGCCAGGAGCCGGGTCCGCGGCCAGGAGCCGGGTCCGCGGCCAGATCCACAGCCAGGAGCCGGATCCGCGGCCAGGAGCCGGGTCGGCGGCCAGGAGCTGGATCCTCGGCCTCCATTGAATACCGTTGTTCTTCAAACACCTCGGCTGCCTGAGATCCGAACAGAAAGGTTCTACAACCACCCTGGGAACCGGAACCACTTCCTACCCGTGGTGTAGTCCACTAGAGCCTCCAGCGCAGAAAGACGGACGTCTACGAAGTGTCCGTACTCAGCGTAGGCCCTGAAGAGGGACGGGTCGCTGGGAATGTGACCGTTCTTCTGCAGCTGACGGATGGCCTTCAGGCAGCTGGGGACACAACAATCAGCTTTACTGGTTCTACTGGTCTACTCAGAGAAGCAGAGGGCCCCGTCTGCTCCCTACCTCACAGTGATGGTGTTCCTGAAGCTGGGCAGCAGCTTCTCCATGTTCAGGAAGCGGGTGATCTCCTCCAGGATGAGGCGGACGTCCGGGTTCAGGTTCTCCACGGTCCGGACCTCGTTGTTGATGCTGATGGCCGGAGTCAGCGCGTTGGTCAGCGCCTCGATCAGCTCAGCCCGGTAGTAGTTGTCTGAGAACTGGACACAAGGTGGAGGAGAGGTCAGGAGGTTCTGGGTGACCCAGACGGGCATCAGAACCAGAAAAGGCCCGGTTCTGACCAGTCTGCCTACCTTGTTCTTCCGGTTGTCGTTATACTTGATGAGATCCAGGATGAAGTTGAGAACGTCTTTAGGACACAGGTTCTGCACGTCCCTGAGTAACGCCATGGCAACCGGCATGGTCTGAAACCAACAACACAAAGAGCACAGCTGGTTGGAGGCCTGCAGAACCGGCCGAGTTCTGATGGGTTGGGCATGAACAGAACCACCGTCTGTACCTTCTGCAGGAAGTAGCTCTGGAAGTTGATGAAGTTGTTGGTTCTGACGATGTTGGGGCAGCTCTTACAGCAGAACATTCTGGTGAACAGAGACTTCATGGCTGGTGGACCCTGCCATGTGCTCACCATGGCGTTGGCGATCTGCAGGCAGAACAGAACCGGTCGGTGGGCTAGAGGTTAGTTCAGCTGTCGGAGCGAGGCCCGTGTCCTGGATTTCCCTCACAGGGAACCATCTGGGTCATGGTAGGTTGGAGTGAAGCGGACAGGGATCCGGGCAACTGGAACTCGTTCCCCTGCAATGGTCTGGTAGAGGAACTAAGGCACAGCATGGTCGGGTTCTGCTGGTACCGGTAGAGACCTACCTTGGCCAGGCAGAAGCAGGCCTGCATGCGGACCTTGTAGAAACACTGTTCCTGCTCCAGGATGTCCGTCAGAGCTAGTCTGGAGGCGGGGGTGGGGAACTTCTCCAGCGCTGTGATGGCTTCCTCCTAGGAGACAGGAAACAGCTGGGGTAACCATGGAAACGGCCTGGAAAACCTCTACCTCGACTAGCATTAGAAGATCTAGGATGGTCCTGACTGAGGAGGTCAGGCTGTCGGGTCTAAGAACCTGGCTGCAAATTTCAGAGTGAGAGAAAAGTTTCTTCATCTAGAGGACGACTTTCTACTTCCCTGGTGTTCATGGATGGATTAAAGCCCGGTACCAGGACCGCCCCGACTGGACCAGTGACCAAGCTTGCAGGTCAGAGGCTCCTCCCCGCCTACCTGTGCCACCACGTCCCTCTCGTATCGCAGCTGGTACTGCCACATGAAGTCGGCCTGCTCGAACTCCACCTTCCTCAGGATGGACATGTCCGGGTCGATCCGGATCCACAGCAGAGGAGAGTCGGCGCTGCAGAGGAAAACACAGGACACAAGACATCAGCGCGGGATTCCGACTCCGCCGATCATCAGACAGGCTGAAGGTCTTACTCCATAGCAGACAGGTCCATGTCCACTTCTTCTCCATTCATCAGGGGAATCTTCTTCTTCTTGTTCCTGTTCAACAGTCAGAGGGTAAATCCATCAGAGCATAAGTGCAGCAGCGGGACCCTCCAGAACCTTCTGCTACCTTCTGCTCTTGGAGTGGCAGGGGATGTCATGCTTCAGGCTGTTCTCCTCTATCTGCAGCGTGTGGTTGAAGGAGCCATCCAGCTCCTGGACCGTCACCTTGATGGGGCCCTTCGGAGACAGGAGGAGAAGTTAGAGCGGGACACCCCACATTCTGCAGCCCGCCAGCCCGCTCCTGCAGCTCACCACATATTTCTGGGTTCCAGAGGACGTGTAGTCCTGGCGGATCTCCAGCTCCAGAACGTTCCTCTTCCTGTTGAAAGCAAAGCTGCCGAAAAACTTCACCACGCCGCTCTGATCTCTGCTCAGGAGGAGTCAAGGCTGAACGGGCAGGAAGATCTGCTTGGAAAGAAGGGAACATGTGCAGCGGTTCTGGAAGGATACACCCACTGCTTGATCAGAGGGCCGATGTCTTTGCCGGAGACGTTGGAGATGGACTTGAGGAAGGCGTGGGTGGACAGCAGCATCTGGCTCCACATGTGGCTCTGGTACTTCTGAGAGGATGCGGTGCTGGCCAGGCTCAGCAGCTTGTTGAAGACCTTCAGGAGGACAGAGAGGCAGATTGAGATAGGGAGAGCGAGCGGGACAGAACCGTGGAGGGAGCGAGTGGGACCTGCAGCATGAACTCCATGCTGATCCGGTTCTCAATCAGCCTCATCACCAGGTGGGCCTTGCACTGGAACATCCTGAAGTACTCCCAGGACAGAGTGTGGGGGTGCTTGATGGAGAAGTGGAGGTGGGGAGTAGGACTGAAAGAGAGAGAGGCCTGGTCATCACTCTGCTGGACCTAGATCTATGTTCTCAGAGGGAGCTGAGCTTAGGGTCAATCAAAGGTTGTGTGGTGAGAAGCTGCCGTCACCAGGAGGTCCTTACTTGTCCTTCTCTTTGCCTCCAATGAAGGTGGGGTGCAGCAAAACGCCTCCCATCTTCAGCTCGTAGTCAACGATCCGGTCCAGCTCCTGGAAAACAACAGCATCTAAATGAACATCTAGGTTAGAGAGGCTGCACCTGCTGGAGGCACATCAGAGCACAGAGTACCGCTACCGCCGGCCTGGTACGGCTACCGCCGGCCTGGTGCGGCTACCGCCGGCCTGGTGCGGCTACCGCCGGCCTGGTGCGGCTACCGCCGGCCTGGTATCACTACTGCCGGACTGGTATCACCGGCCTGGGGCTCAGGGGGCTCGGAGAAACCATGAAAGCTGTGGTTCTCTCTGTGGTTCCATGTAACATTGAGCAGAAAGAAAGCAAAGCAGCACCTCTTTGATCCAGTGGCGGTATTCATTGACTCCAAAGGTCTTCTTCAGGTAGAGGCCGTAGATGTAGCCAGAGATGCCCTTCAACACCCACTCATCAGCCCTGCAGGAGGAAACACAGGAGGTGAAAAGGAGGTTTAACAGAGGGAGACTGAGGTTGAACACGGGGAGGAGGTTGAACACGCGGAGGAGGAGGTTGAACACGCGGAGGAGGTTGAACACGGGGAGGAGGAGGTTGAACACGGGGAGGAGGTTGAACACGCGGAGGAGGAGGTTGAACACGGGGAGGAGGAGGTTGAACACGGGGAGGAGGAGGTTGAACACGGGGAGGAGGAGGTTGAACATGCGGAGGAGGAGGTTGAACACGGGGAGGAGGTTAGTCTGCAGCATTTATTGCCCTCCTGGATCAGGCTGGGAGTTCAGCTTCATCGAGCACCCTGCAGCCTAAATGAGTGATGAGGTCAGAGGTCATCTCCATGGATTTACGAGGCTGTTAAAATGGCTGCAAACCTCCTGCTGAGCTGAACTTTGTCTACCTCCCTCCTTTTAATCTGACTTGCACTAGTTTGCTCTAACGCAGCAGGTCGGGCCTGTGATCAGACGGTTAATGCTGTGCAGGGCTAACATGATGCAGACAGGTCAGCCTCACCAGGACATCCTGGAGATGAAACAGCCAAAGAACTGCTGGGCCAGGGCCTGAGCCAGACAGCGGCGGGTCTGCGGGGTCTGGTCGATGATGGTAGGGCTGTGCAGCAGGTTGGTGCTAAAACACAAAGGAAACACGTCACAGTTGATCCTGGGACGAGAGGTCAAAAAGCAGCAGCTCTCACCCCACCTGAAGATGCTCATGGAGGCGTAGGAAGACACCTGCACGTAGGCCTCATCCACAAACACAGTCTTGAAGCAGGAATACGGGTAGCGGCACGTCAGGATCTCCTCGTAGAACTCAAAGATCTCATGCAGGTAGGACATGGAGTGTTTGAGCAGAGGAAGCAGCTGAGGCAGGCAGAAATGGGTTACCTGCAGAACAGAGGACAGCAGCTGAAGCAGCTCTACCATGACACCTGGTGGTCATTACAAGAACAGCAAGAGCAGCTCAGCCTGCCCTGCAGGAGCAGTGTCCAAACATCCGCCCCGACCCCTAGATCCCTCCATAGCTATATAGAGCGGGGTCCATCCA